GACAACGGAGGCTTGAGTCACAGCCTCCACGGTTCAGAGACCTCTCCACGCCCACAGGAAGCCACAGCGTCCTCTCGTCCACTGGGTGCTAGAACTACCCACAGCAGAAGGAGCTGGAAGTCCAAGGGGGTAACAGGTGTGACCTGGGGCCTATCTCAGGAGGGGGGGCCTAACAGCTGCCCCTCGAGCACAGTGCCACCACCATCCCGTCCCCCCAGCCACCCCAAGGGAGCAGAAATGACGTCTCCATCCCCTTCCCTGGGGTGCACCTGGCAGGCAGGCCCCTCCTCCTACCGTTCCAGCCGCTCAAGGACATGTTCTCACCCAGCCAGGACATGTGAGACGCTGCCACGTGGCTTGTGGGCAGGATGTGGGTGGGACAGAGTTCTAGGAATGACATGGAACCCCAGCCCCTAAATGTCAAAGCAAATTATATTATACGTGACAACTAAAAAATAAGAAAAAAAAAGAGGTCCAATGACAGCAGAGGTGTGGGTGTGTGCAGCACGCAGAATGACAGGTGCAAAGGGGCCCTTGACACACCCTGTGACCGATCAAACAAACAAGGGAAAACCTGTAAATCCGGAGCTGGAAAGTCAGGGACTGTCGCTGAGCTGGGAAGCCGCGGCCGCCTCTCCTGGCTGTAGGAGTGAACCGCCCCCACCCCCAGCGTCCCTCTCTGCAGAAGTCCCCAGAGCGTCTGTCCTCATCTGCTGAATGCCCTCGGCGCAGCAGTTGGCCCTTTCCCCCAGCAACATGTGACATGGCTTCAGATGGACACGTTTTTCTTTTCTTCTTGGCCAGAGCACCCGCGTGTGTGCCAAAACAGAAAACCCGTTTCCGCCCATGTGGCCCTGACGCTCCTGGGCCCCTCCCGGGGCTTTAGCTGCAGCTGGTGGAGGGCTTGGGCCAGGTGGCCCCTGGCTGCCAGCGTCCAGCCCCTTCCCCACCTCCCTCCTGGGACATGGACTGGCTCCTGCTACAGCTGGCAGAGGGTGAGTTGCCGCGGGCCGAGCGGGGACCGGCTTGAGGGGCAAGGCTGCCCCAGAGGGGAGGCAGGCAGGGCCAGGGCGCTGTGGGCAACTGAGGCAGCCCCTCGGGGTGCCAAACAAGCCCCCTCCTCACCTCAAGTCCCAGTCAGAGCTGCAGGGGCCGCCGGGTCTTCTCCCTGCCTTGTCATCTCCCTGGAGGGACTTGGAGGGTACGTGTCCACTCCACTAGAGGCCTGACCGGGCTGTTCTGCTGGGAAGGGAGATGTCTCCAGCCCTGAGGACACTACTGACCCAGTGACTGCCACTGCTCCTGTGCCTCAGTTTCCCTGTAAGACTAGAGAAGGGCAATCCTCACCTCGCCCAGGTGAGTGGGAGCACAAACTGTGCTGGTGTCAGGGCCAGCACCAGTCCCACGTTGGCCATCCAGGGACAACTGCTCTGCAGGGCCTGGGGCTCACAGCCCTGCTTGCCCTGCTGCTGGCCACAGCTCTGGCCTCAGGAGCTGTCAGCACTCAGCTCTGCCAGTAAAGGACAAGGAAAAAGCCCTGCGCTCCTGCCCACTCCTCATGGTACAGACGAGGAAACCAAGGCCCAGTCAGGGCAGGTGACACCACAGCTGGTGCCAAACAGCCCTGAGGACCCCCCAGCCCTGCATGGCCTTGGGTGGTTAGAACTGACAGAGACCAGTCCCAGGACTCACTGACCTGCCGAAGCCCAGCACCTGTAGCAAGAGTCCCAGTCCCCCGAGGGCCACCTAGTGCCACCCTCAGGTGCTCCTGGTTGGCTGGCTCTGTCCTCCTGGAGGCCAGGCCTGGGTGGCTGTGAAGCCACTAAGTAGGAGCAATCCCCAGGACAGTGTGAGGTCTCCCGAGCTACTGGTCACAGCCAACCCCGAGTTTGGGAAGTTCTGGGGTTGAAGTCTCCACACTTCAGATGCCAGCTGCACTGGGTCATGCACTCAGCACCCTGCAGCCTGGATCCACATCTGTCCCTGGGGAGGGGGCTGCCCACCAAGCAGGTTGTGGTGAGGCCCACTGAGATGTGCCTTCAGCCCAAGCCTAGTGAAGGGTCACGTGCCCTAAGGGGACACAGCCGTCATCCTCTACTTCTCTCAGCAGCTCTCGCCAGGACGTGCCTTGGTCTCCCCCGGCCCAGGGTGTGGGTGGGCCTCCCGAGTCGAGCCCAGCTCCTGGTGGAGCCACGGAAGCAGCCCGAGTCAGTCTGTGGCGACACAGCCGTCATCCTCTACTTCTCTCAGCAGCTCTCGCCAGGACGTGCCTTGGTCTCCCCTGGCCCAGGGTGTGGGTGGGCCTCCCGAGTCGAGCCCAGCTCGTGGTGGAGCCACGGAAGCAGCCTGAGTCAGTCTGTGGTGCGCACCGTGGCATCGTTGCTGGGCACTGTTGGTCACCGTGGCTTGGCTTCATCTTTGCATGGGCATGGCTGTGTCTGCAAACCAGGGAGGGCCCCACAGTTGCTGAGCTGAGGTGCCCAATCATGACTTCAGGGCCACATGCTGACCCGCCCTGTGCTCTGGACACTGCCCAGGGTCACCTACAACTTCCAGGCTGCACTCCACCTTTGGTTTGAGCTCCACAAGCTGGCCTCTGGGATCCCCGTGCCCCAGGTCCTCGCACAGTTTGTCCCAGGTTGGTGCCTGGAAGATGCATTTTCCCAACCTCACCCCCAAAGTCTTGAGCTCTTCCTTCTGGTCTTAGGCCCCACCTGGCGGTGGTGAGCAGAGGGGGCCCAGCAGCCTGCACCGTCTGCCGAGTGAGGGACACAAGCCCACATGCAGTGTGTGTGGTCACTGTCACCAAAACTCACCCCCAGGATCAAGGACCAGGGCATGGCCGCATGGCCAGGGCATTGCCTGTCTGCAGAGGAGCCCTGAGCCTGGCCAGCCCCTCACGGGGAGGGAAAACCTCAAAGCAGGGTCCAGAAAGTGTTTCAGAGCAGACGCAGACACAGCGGCAGCACCTGCCTTCCAGAGGCTTCCTAGGACCTCCAGCTGCACACGCAGCCACCCACCCGCAGTGCAGATGAGGGGACAGAGAGGCTCAGCCAACAGGCCTGCCTGGTGGGGATGCTGGGACGATGCTGAACCATGCGATGCAGTGTCCTGAACAATGTGGCCTGCTCAGAAGACCCTCGCCTCCCGCCAAGTGCTTCAGGGGCCTCCAGCCCTCAGCCCTCCCATCCCATCATGGGGGTGCCCACCTGCCTGCCCTCCCCAGGGTCCTCCACACCCCCAAGGGGAGGGGGCCGCCCCCCAGGATTCCGAGCAGATGGAACCATATGTGCACGTGGACAGAGCCTCAGGCTGAGCGGGCGCCTGTGCCAGGTGGCATCAGAGGGAGGGAGGAACCTGAGGCGAGTGCCATCTGCTGCCCGGACCCGAGGATGCACCAGTGCCCCCACTCCCCTCATGGGCGGGCCCGTCCTGTCCGTTTCTGGAGAGTTCCAGGCTGTCACACCCTGATGAGGGGAGGGGAGAGGTCCGCCTGTCCCCGTAGAGTCTCTCCAGCCATGGGGGCACACAATAGCAGCTGGGGGCTTCGAGCACCTGCAGACTGGGGTGGTCTCAGAGCCCCTTCCAGGAGAGAGGACGACTGACATCTTCCTGGGCCAGGCCAAGAATGAGGGGCCGTTCTCTGTGCCTGGGCAGCGGAGCTACATCAGGGCACAGGACGAGGTGGAGTGTGTGGACATGGGGGTCGGGCTGAGAGTGGGGAGGCTGCTGGCCTGGCCTTGACACCTGCTCAGCCTGGATGGGCTGCAGAAGGGGATAGGGGGAGCCAGACCCAGTCCTGGGGGGCCCTGGAGACCCAATGCCTGGCTGCTGTGTGGGGGGCCCTGGTGGCCTCCAGCCCAGGAGACAAAGACGAGGTGGTTCACACAAAACACTAAAAAACAATAATCTCTTTTACTGTTATAATAGAGCCACAGGCACTGCGTGAGCAGGGGTGGGCAGGAGCCCACCTCACACCAGCACATGGTCCCTTCTGCAGCCCCGCGCAGCGGAGCACACGGCCAGGTGCCAGCCCAGCTCCGCCCTGCCCTCCATCGCTCATGGCGTCACTTGGCGCGGGGTGGCGGCTGCCTGTGCTGTTCCAGCAGCTCCTCCAGGTGGTCGGCCCTCTTCACCGCGGCCTCGTGCTGCCTCCAGAGGCTGCTGACAGCCTCCTCCTTCTTCGCCAGGGCCGTCTTCACCCTGTGGGAGCACATGGTGGGCGTCTGCACAGCCCCTGCCCCGTCTCACTCAGGTCAACCTGCAGCTCCCAGGAGGCACCAGGGTAGTCGACCTGCAGGCTTGGTCCCAGCCCGGCTGACCACGACCCCAAGGCCCACAGGCATCTGGGGAGGCTCAGTGCTGAGGTGGGGGTGGGAAGCCCCCCCCATGCCCATAAAAGATCCTGACTGGGGAAGGACTAAGGGGTGTCCGGGGGGCCTTGCTACTAACCTCATGGTGTCTGGCCACTTCTGCACAGCACCTACAGCACCCAGGCCGAGGGCCCTGGACGGCTGCCCCACCCACACATGGGCCCCTATCTGGACCTGCTCTGGAAGATCTCAGGGTGAGGACAGAGCCTGGCCCTGCTGGGACACCCAACTGGGACTCAGTGCCACTTAGAGGGGAGCTGACCCAGGCTTCCTGGGCCACAGACAGGGAACCACACCAGCCTCTGCCCACCCCCCGGCCCCACCCACTTTCTCCGGCCCCTCCAGTCCTGGCTCCCCACCTCCGGTGCACCTCCTCCAGCTCCAGCCTCTGGCGGGCTTGCAGCTCGGCCAGCTCGGCCTTGATCTTCTGGTTCTCCTCCTTGGAGGCTGCCAGCCGGTCAGCGAACTCCTGATGGACCACCTGGGTGAGGCTGCTCCGCTCACCTGACATCTGCTCATTTATCTGGGTGGGAGGGGAGCAGGGTCTGAAGATGCAGGTGGGACCCTAACGGACCGCCACACACATATCCTCCAGCTCCCAGCTCCTAACCCCAGCCCCAACCCTATTCCTCCAGCGCCTGACCCCAGCCCCAACCCTATTCCTCCAGCTCCTGACCCCAGCCCTAACCGCTTACCGCCCGCAGGTCTTCCAGCTCCCTCTCCTTCTGCCACAGCAGGCCCTGCAGACGCACGTTCTCCCCCTCAGCCTCCCCAAGGCGACCCTTCAGCTCCAGGCACCGTTCCTGAAGCTTCCGCTCTGACTGCTCTAGCTCGGAGAGCTCTGTCTCGTACTTGTCCCGTATGCGCTTGATGCTGGGGCGGGGATGGGGGACAGGAAGGGTTAGCAGAGTGGCCTTGACAAGCTGCTGGTCCCTGCACCTGCCCGCCCCCTCCCCTCATCTGGGTGGCTCCAGACAGCGGCGCTCGTGGTGGCGGGCTCACCGGGCCTCAGCAGCCCTCTCACTCTCCTCCTTGGCCAGCGTCATGTCGGCCTCTAGCCGGTGGATGACCAGCTCGATCTCCTGGTCCCGGCCTTTCCGGATCTCTTCCTTCAGCTCCCGCTCCCGGTTCAGCAGCCACGCCTCCTGGAGGGACAGCACTGACTGGGGACCACTGCTCAGGCTGTTCGAGGGCTCCCCTGCTCCCACCAGGGACAAGGGGGTCTTGCCCTGCCCCAGGTCCCCAGTTCTCATTAGGACCATGGTACACACAGAAAGGGCATAGGGTGGGCACTGAGCAGGTCTGAGGAGACCTTTGGCACAGCCGATGCTCCTCTCCCTGAAGTGCTGAGGCCAGATGCCACCTTCCACACCAGACATGAGCGGTAAAAGGAGGGAGCGTGCCCTGCTGCTGAGGGCGGGGCCTTGGGGCATAAATGGGGCAGCCTCTTGGAAGCAACCTGGAAACTTCCATCAAGTTTAACTCTTTGCCCCAGCCCACGTTCAGGACCACCCTACAGATGCAGAAGGCCCTGCCCAAGGAGGCCACCACAGGAGTGGCTGAGGGAGTGGACGGGAGATCCTTCTGGGCCACTGCCGGGGACAGCCTGGCCCGTCAGGGTTAAACCAGCCGACAGGCACGGGCAGTCAGAACACGTGTGTGGGCCCCTGTGCCTGTCCAGTCCACCCCTGAGGAAGGCACCGAAGGCTGGAGAGAGGCCTCCTTCTCGCACACGTCTCAGCGTCGGGCGCTGAACTGCGGAGAGCGTGGGCAGAGCCATCATCGGGCCAGGGAACAGACGACACGCATGCTCTCTCTGACCGCAGGATCTGCCCCCAAGCTCCTCTGTTCCTTCTTGGTTCCCAAGCTCATAGATCCTTCCGGAGCCCATCAAGGACGACTGAGAGCAGCCACAGCCTTAGCTGCTCAGAATGAGACCACCAAGCCCCACAGCAGCCAAATGTGGTACCCAGCACCAAGCCCCAGGGAGGCCACACAAGCAGACCTGGTACACGCCGCGCCCCACCCCTGCTGGGCCCCACCTCCTTTTTGGCGCATCCGGCTTCCCACGCCTGCTTCTCTGCCTCTAGCTGATCCTTCAGGGCCTTCAGCTCCGACTGGAGGGACAAGAGGGTGAAGGAGCCAGTCCCATCAGCCACATCCCACCCAGGGCCACAAGCCACTCAGCACCCGGGCCCAGTGCAGCGCTGCGGCAGACCTGGTGCCGGTGCTCCTGCTCTTCCCTCCCCTTCTCAAACTCGGTCCTCAGGGCCCGGGTCAGCACCGAGCTGCTCTCCTCCAGCTGCCGCCGCAGCTCCTCAAGCTCTGCCCGTTGCCTGCAGGACAGGACAGGACAGGGGACAAGGGTCAGCGAGCTGGGGGATGGGTCAGTCTCCAGGGGAAGGGTTGGTGGGCCGGGGGAGGGGTCTCCGGGAGAAGGGACACTGGGTCAGGAGAGAGGTTGCCAGGAGAAGTGGGGAGGGCCCGTGGCACCTGGCTGCCTGCTGTCCCAGCCGCTCCCTCTCCTCGGCCACCTCGCTGTGCAGCCTGTGCCTCTGCTGCTGCAGGGCCCGCTGCTCCTGCTCCAGCTGCTGCTCAAACCTGCAGGGTGGTCGGGACTGGCTCACGTGGGCAGGCTTGGGTGGTCCCCGGACCCTCACACCGCACTGACACAGGCCCAGCCACATCCTGGACTGGGGCAGAGTGCGGCTCAGAGCTCACGAGCAGCACCCCTGTCCTCTGCACAGCGAGTGCCCACCGGCTGACCCACACAAGTCCTTGAGCCGCAGGCCCATGTGCAATGGCCTCAGCAGGCCGAGCTTTCTCTGGCACCCTCGCCTAGTAGGCACAGCCCAGGGACAAGGAGGGTGGGAAGCTGGGCATGTGTGGGCCCCAACCCGCCACCTCTGCTCTCATGCACAATGCCAGGTGCCTAGACCTTGACCTGAGCCAGCTTGCACCAAGACCCATATGCATTTATTTTGTTTTTTGCAGCCGATGAGTACAGGAATGGGCCCTGGACCTTGCTGTAATCAGCTCTACGCTCTGACCACTGAGATAATCAACCAGCCCAGAGCCCGTGTCCTTAGCCCCCCTGGGGAGAGGGTCTGTCCTGGAGGCACAGCAGTACAGTAGGGGCTGCCCGCCAGACACTGCTGCCTGTGAAAACTGACCGTCACGGCCCTGTCCCCGGCCCCCAAATCTTAGGGCCTGAGAGTGGCAGGAAGCAGCCTGTCACACCTCTGCCAGTGCTGAGTGAGCTCCCACCCTGGGCCAAGGGAATGAGTGAGACAGATTGTCGTCAGGCACCAAGGTCAGAGCCGGAGGAGCCTTGATGCTGCCTGCCCAGGGGTCAGCTGATCACGGCCAGCTCTGACAGAGGGGTATCTGATGAGCCCGACAAACCCACCCCCACACGTACACAACCCCAGCCTGGTGGGGATGCACACGAGCCCCTCAAAACCGACCGACCTTTGCTGAGGAGGAGACAGGGGCCCTCGGTGGCCCTGCAAAGGCCGCTGCTGTTCTGGAACCATGGCCTCCTGCACCCTCCCTGGACACTGCACTGAGACCCCAGCCCCAGAAATAGGACAGGTCCCCAGCTTCGCACTGAGGGTCCTGGTGCATCCCAGCCCTGCCAATCCCCAGCTGAGGCCCGAGAGGCGCAGACACCCACCGCTGCCGGGCCCGCTCCCGCTCCCGCTGGCCCAGTGCCTCCTTCTCCCGCTCCAGCTGCTCCCGGAGCTCCTCAGCCTGGCACAGGTAGCGCTGCGTGGCCCGCTCGTCCGCCTGCAGCAACTCCGCCTCGTGCAGGCTCCGGAGCCTTTTCACCTCCTGCTTGTGCTTGGCAATCAGCTTTTGGATCTCGGGCTCCAGTCCTAGGGCAGGGGCACCATGCTGTAGGGGACCTCAGACCCCCACCCGACCCCATCCACCGTGACAGTGGCTGGGGCCATGGTCTACCCAGGGGAAGCCTGAGAAGTCCAACCCTACTACAAAACACTGCCCTGTCTCTGGTCCCCCGAGGGGGCCCAGCCACCCCAGCCACGTCTGGGGTTCTGATCCGGAACATGGCTGAGTTTGATATGCACACAGTGGGGCAAAAACAGATGCCACCCCCTGCCCTGGACACCCTGGTCCTGGAGGAATCCGTGCTGGTCCCCTGGCTGCTCTGACCATTGGAGAACACCACCCGAGGGTCTGTGGCTCCTTCAGACACGACACCCGCCAGCCTGTGAGCATCAAGCTGAAATTCCTTTGGTGTGACCTACGTGCCACAGTCACCCACTAACCTGATTTCTGCAGGGCAACCCCAGGGACTGTGAGGGGCCTATCACGCCCAGCTCGGGCCACTGCGGGTGCCAGGCACCT